GGGAAGCTCACCTCACGTCTGCAGATCTCTGACTGGACCTGCTTTCCCCTCCTCACTGACCACCTTCCGAAGCCTCTCCTCGCAGATGTCTTCCACTCAATCAAGTAAGTGACCCTCCCCTACCTTACTTCTCAATCCCTCCATAACCGGGTTCCCCCTCACACCCCTGTCATGTAGGCCCTACGCTTTTACTTTTCTCTTCCCTGGCTCCAAGCCTATCTGCACCAGAGAGGAGGTTATTATTGCAGTGAGAGCTTCATTTCTTTTATTTTTACATATGCTGGGTTACTTATTTGCAAGGAAATGGCCAAACACCCAAATGCAAGGAAGAAATGAGCTTTAAGAACATAAAGTAATTTTTATGAGCAAGAAACCTTTTCCCGTAGCAAATTTGTTGTCTGAGCTGGAATTATTAGTACTGGGCGAATCTGTTTGGGTTCAATTCGTAGGCCTATTCTGTAAAAATCTGCAAATTGCGAACTTGTGAACACCTTTGAAGTCAATAGTAGGCAAATCTTGAAAATCATTATTTCCTTTCTCAAGGCTAACAGGCAAAGGATTGTGAAACAGAGGGCATAGAAAACCAGACACAGCCCGTCTTTTAATAAGGCTTAAAGGGCAACATTAAAAATTACAAAATTCCTTTAGATAACAGGCTTGGACGATGCCCTAAACCTGCCTGTGATTTGGTGCACCTATAGGATGTACACAAGCAAAAGTGACATTTTAGAAAGAAAAGAAAACATTTACTGCTAAAAGACATTTCCCATATGGCTTCCATTATTTTGGTTAAAAACTAGATGGGGACCCCAAAATACATACCAGACCCTTATCAATGGGATTTGGGGGTCCCCATGCAGTTTTTTACCCAAAACAATTAATCCAGCAGGAAAATGTCATTTAGCAGCAAATTGTGTTTTTCTTTTTAAAATGTCACCTTTGCTGTGGTACATCCTATAGCAAAAGTGAAAAAAAAATGATTCTTAGGGGGACCTGGTTACTGGTTCTGATTTCAGAAACAACACAAAAAGAGGAGTGGTAATTTTATTACATTTCTGTCTGCCAATAAAAGCAGGATATCAAGACAGATACAGTACTTATGGTGTGTTAGCTGTGTGTAAAAATCTATTTGCAAGGAATAGAATGCCAATAAGGTGCAAGAAAAATAAATAAAAAGTATATTTACACATGATTGGGTGATGGATGTCAGCAGAGCTTCAGCTCATTCACTAAACTTCCCCCGTAAAGTACAAATTTGCTGACAAAAGAGAACAACCTATTTTCATTTAGCAAATCAAACCCTATGTGTCTACTACAGAATGCGTTAAAAGCTCATTAGTTCAAGTGACACTAAACTTACAGACCATGGGGAACAAATGTAGCAACCCTCCAGAACGAAGGTCAGTGTCAGCATGAAGGGCTTGTTAACACCATAAACAGTGCATTCCAGAGCTGTCAGCTGCTGAAACGCACTGTATTGAATCCCGGCTGCCTTCCTGCGTTCAGGGGCAGGAGGGGGTGTGGCGGTGCATTTAACTCAATTGCGCCGCATCCACACTCCCTGCCCGCAGTGTGATCCTGTGCCCCCTCCTGCCCCTGAACGCAGGAAGATGCGATACAGTGTGTTCCAGCAGCTGACTGCTCTGGAACGCACTGTTTATGGTGTGAACTGCCCCGAATTCAGAGATGGTTTGAGGATCTACAGCTGATACATGTGATACACAAATAAGCTACATTTCTGTTAATAGTTAGGGTACTTGAATGCATTTTTAAGATTTAACTTCTGAGTTTAGTGTCACTTTAATGCTCAGGGACTGTAATTATAGGAAAGGGGTTGGACTTTGATGATGCCATAACTGATTGGTCAAGGTACTAAAAGTTCATTTGGACAGAGGAAGAAAAATCACTTCCGTGGAATGCTGTGAGTTTAGTACAAGCTACATATCGAGGAGTGAAAGATCAGGTGTAAATAGAAAGGTCAGTCTTATTACCACTGTGTTTTTTGCACTGTATTGCTTCACTGTGTTTTATCTTTATATTTTAACAGATTTGGTGCATGCTTGACTTTGGTTAAAATATAATATTTTTCTTAAATATATTCTGAAGGATAAACTTGTAGCTCACATTAACATGCAGTGACCGTTCAATGTTTTGTTTAGTATTGAAACTTTCTGCAACTATACAGAACTGAAAAATAGATGTAAGAGTTTAGTTGGAAAATAATCCACCATAGTATTGTGTGCACAAATAAGAGATGTTTTCTGGTTAGAAAAGGGCTATTCTGGACGTACAACTCTTTATTATAACATGCTTCTGTCTAGAGAAAGAGAATTCTAAAGTGGCAATGAAGATAAGAAACTAGGTGTAATAAAAAAAAAGACATAATTAGACTGGTGGGGGGTTTTTTTTGCACCCTGTGACTTCTTAAAGTGAAAGCTGCTGAGTGCCCTATTCAGCTTTATGTATGCAAGTGTCTAATGTATCAGTCAAGGACATTCAATACATCTAATAAATGCAAGCAAGGACACATGAATATAGTGTTGTACAATATTTTATTTATATCAACTGCACAGCTGGACTTCTAAAGGCCAATTCCCAACAATTAAGAACATACAAAAGGTATGGCTATGGTTCTCTCTGTGCCTGCTTTTAACTGGTTATGCTTGCTGTTACAGGTTCACTTTAATCAGAGTGAAAATTATAACTCAACAACTTAATAAGGACAGAACTGTAATGCCAAGTAAAGTGCTGCCTCACATAGTAAGAGCATGCTACCATATGTGCTATGAGCTCCTAGAAAGATATGTACACTTTGAAGGGAATATATATTTTCGTACATATTTTCTGTATTTTTCTGTATTTTTAGGTTGAGGACTAAACACTAAAAATATGTATTTTGCTTTTTAGTCAGGTAGACATATTTTGCAAATTTGTTTGGCAGACTAAATTTAACTGCTTTGCTGATCAAAAGCTGGGCTCAGTAGAAAAAGCTTTGTCTGCACTGTATGGCTTCATAAAACATTTCAATAAAGGTGCCCATACACTGCTAGATTCTCGTACGAGAATCACGGGAAATCCCACGATCGTACGAGAATCGAGCAGTGTGAATGAAGAGGTGCGGCCGTTTCTACTGTACGAGCAAAACAAATGACAAACGCACTCAACAATTTGTCACCAGTTATACAGTAAGGTGCACACGAAATGGGCTTTGAACAGTAAAACAGTAGAAAGGCATCATGGCACACTCACAAAACAGCATGTAAAACAACTTGTCTCACCACTAAGGTTAATAACAGAGGTTTGGATACACGTCTTCTGCAGAAAATGTGAAAGCCGCGCCAAGGCACCTCTTATAGTGCGGTCCTAACTCTAAACTATGAGAGTCTCCATCTTGGAGCACATGGGGGCAGAAGATTTCGAATTGGGTGCAGGTTTGTCAGGAGGAAGCCCGGCCTCCTTAAATGCACAGAAACACACAAGGGATCCCACACATCCCAATGGCAGCTGAGAAACCCCATGCGTCGCTGCACCTCTGTTATTAACCTTAGTGGTGAGACAAGTTGTTTTACATGCTGGTTTGTGAGTGTGCCATGATGCCTTTCTACTGTTTTACTGTTCTACTGTACGGTCGCACGTCTTTTGTCTAAGGAGCACGCTAGAAAACCAGCCAAAAATCTTACGATTTTTGGCTGGTTTGAAAGGTGCTCGGGAGACAAATGCCGAACGGGCCGATGTGCTCAGCGCACACTGCCTGTTCAGCATTGTGGTCATCGGAAGGCCGCCCCTCAGGGGGGCGGGCTTGCGATGATCGCAAGTACGATCTGCCTGTCCAAGATGGGCAGATCTTAAATTTTTTAAATTACTTTACAACCATCGCAAGACTAAGGTCTTGCGATGGTTGTAAAGTGTATGGCCACCTTTAGAGAGAGAAAATCTGATAGGAAACAGTTGCCTATCAGTTTCCTAAACAGTTTCCTTAACGCTTAATGACACCAATGTCATGAATGCACCTATATCTGAAAAGAAAATAATGATTTTACACAGGAAAAAATACACAAAACAGTTAAAAACTAATAAACCTAAATAAAATTATAATAACACCATTAGTTTTGCAATTACTTGTGTCTTACATAAGACAAAACCTACTATAATTAATACACTGAAGTGCTCAATTGGGACTTCTATTATTCTGTACAGTAATTTCTATAACACTTGTATGGGGTACTTTGGTCTGAATTTACCAGGGTGCACTACCCTGCACCCTCACAACCCAAAACCATACAATTGACAAAGTGGTAGGGGGCTTATGGAAGATTTTCTTACTGAGGTCTGAAGGAGGATATTAATGGAAGACACATTTACTGAGCTCTTATCCTTTAAGAAAACCATGGGGTCTATTCACAAGCTGACGTAGGGAGCCGAGTGAATGACCGACCTAAAGCGAAGTGAGCCAAACGCTGTTCGGCTATTCACTGCAGGCTGGTACGGCTGATTTCAGCCGTATATCGGCTGAAATCAGCCATACATCGGGTGGCTTCGGGTCGGCCGAACATGCTCAGCA